CCTCCCTCATGAGGACGCTAACAGGACGGACATGACGGATAGTACCTAGATCTCATATCTTGAATTGAAGCTTGTGATGTAACATAGATAGCCACGTGGGCAGCAAGGAGTAAGGTATTAACATATATGAGTCCGCATAACTTATATTGTCTGAGCAACATATCTGTCGCCCTCTTGTTCGGCTAGACCTTTGTTGAATAGTTTCGACGAAGACTAGAGCATGCCGGTTGAATCAAATTAGATCCGCAACAATCAAAATCGTATTTCATTTCATCCGCTTTTGTAATAACTCTAACGCTAGCAATGTGACAACCTGCAGGATACATGATGCACGAGAATTCTATCGCAAACATATCCTCGTCTGGGGTAGTTCCACAGGAACTCGAGGAGACAAGAAGCTACCTAAGGCTAATGAGCAATATATTATACCTTAGATACGCAACCAAAACAGTATCCACATAGCCTAGGTAACATAAAGACGGGGTACACGTTGATAAGAGGATGGTCTCTGTGCCTTACTGACTTGAGAGGAATATATTCCCATGGAGCGGGCCCTCGTAATCGGGTGGTAGGCCGGCTAATTCTGTAAATACTTCCATTGGTAACTAGTAGTAGGTACTTGTGGTTTGCTCCGTTGTTCAGTACATATAACTGATGCCATATTTTACGTCCTAGGATGGATCCCATCTCAATAACTTTAACCATTATAGGAATTGTACCAGAATATTCGAATAAGTATATCCAGCTGTTACTAAATTAATTATCCCGGCATTATCAGAGTAATGGTACCCTATTTCTAAGCAGATACGTCAGGACCAGTCCGCCATATAGAAGTCCCACTGTTATTACCTGCATCTATATAATAATGTGGTGTTTCAAAGAGATATAGTCGGGGGGAAACACGTGGAATGCTATATTTGGTATAACTTAATATGGGAGTTGTGGAAGAGCCTTGAGACCGACGAATGGGCGAATTCAACTTATATGAGGGTTTCAGACGGATAGATTAAAGCCAATGGATATATCGTCAATCCCGCTTCTATAAATCACCTCGTTCCTCGGATCCCGGGGCTTTATGTGCCATTGCTTCACCGGCAGGGATGTAGGGGACTTTATTCCACGTGGAAGCCATGTGGTCGTGGACCCGGTTGAAAGGAAGCTTTTCCAACAACCCCCATGGGCTCGGAATCGATTTCTCCGGCGGAGACGACCCTAATCGGCGCACCCGCAGCTGGAGAGGGATTCAGGCGTCATATATTAATATTAAGCATACACATGCAAGTGATTTCATTTAGCCGTTCTTGGCAGGGACCGATGAATGAATACCACGGTGTGAAGACCTCCACCTCACCTAGGTCCGATTATGGGTAGGACGGATCCGTATAAATACTAAGCTGGGAACGAGGGTAAATTCGAGAAAAGCCACTCCATTCATACTCAAGCTTTCCACGGCCTAACTCCTTCATTGTCGAAGACCACCACAATGCTTTGCAACAAGCTTCTCCCCGTAGCCATGCTTTTGGGCGCATCAGTCGCCCAGAACGCTACGCTCCGGTACATGCCCTTCGGTGACTCCATCACGGAGATCATCTGCTGGCGTGCGAAGCTCTGGGAGAAGCTGAAGCCTACTGAGTGGGGATCCGTCGACTGGGTCGGTTCCGGCAGAGGAGAGAACAACTGCGGTGACAGCAATTATGATCGCGACAACGAGGGCCACTCGGGCTTTCTGGCTATCGACATTGCCAACCGGCAGCAGCTCGTCGGTTGGCTCCAGAAGAACCCAGCGGACGTCATCACGATGCATCTCGGCACCAACGACATCGTCCAGCAGAACAAGCCGACCAACGACATCATTGCTGCCTTCACGACCCTCGTCGGCGTTATGAGGGACAGCAATCCCAATATGAAGATCGTCGTAAGTCTTTCTGAAGCTCCACAATAGCTCCTCTATGTCCCTCGTATCAACGGTTACTAATCTCACGGAATTAGGTGGCCCAAATCATTCCCATGGGCTTTGGAAACTACAACACCCAGATCCAGAATCTCAATAAGGCCATTATCCCCTGGGCTCAGGGCCTCAATAAGACAGAGTCTCCTATCTGGGTTGTGGATCAGTACACGGGCTTCAGTGGCACTGCTGATCTGCGCGACGGTGTCCATCCAAACGCTTCTGGCGACGATAAAATGGTTAACGTCTGGTATCCTGCTCTTGTCAATGCCTTCCAGGTCGCTCAGGCTGAGAAGCAAGCTGCGGCTGCTAAACAGGTGGAAGTTCCTTTCACTGCATAAAATATCTGGTGTGTGTTCCCGAGTTGGTTAAAGGAAACCTGTCTAAGAGTTCTTGTGCTGGCCCTCTAGTACAAGGAAGTATTATACTCATTAGTATGCTATTCGTTGTATATATTAAATGACAACATTAGGAAGTGGATCTAGAGTTATCTAGTTAGTTCTATGGCGGTGCCAACCTTCAACCGTGAGAGTAGACGCATTAATTCTATGTAATGACTCGTTTAAAGATGCGCTACATGTCGACTTCCTCAACTCGTGTAAGCTAGGTACGAAGCGCTTAGCGGCGACAGTTGTCTGGAGTAAGTGGGCAGTAAGAAGGACTTAAAAATGGGGGTGATGTGCTTCAGGATTTGAACTAGTATTGATGATATAAATAAGACCTTCAATATGTATTGGGAAGCTTCGGATTGGTACTCATTCGTGCGGCAATGGGAATAATATGAATAGATGAATAGGATAGAGTGGCATGAGAAATACGAGGCCACGCAGGTAAGTTTGAGCAACGTACCAACAAACCTATTCGAGATTAGTAGCAGATAGAGATCTTCATATATATGGCTCACGTATTAGGCGTACTTTCAATGTCCTTCAAAGGATTTTAAGGATCTCCATGATATTGGTATCACGGAAGAACGGCAGCTTGGGGGGAGACGAGCCATGTTACTCTTATCATCTTTTCATATCTCACGCTAAATCCGAAAGACCAGCAGATATAACCCATTAAATATAGCCATTTGAATGTATGTCTAACGAATAGCAACGTGGTTCTCGGGCGATATTCGCAAATTATGCACCTATAGGGACTGAAGCTTACGTGTGTAGGTGGATGTTATAAGCTTCAGTGCATATACGGGGGCAGTGCCGATGTCCCGGTTCTGAGTTAGTGCCAAGTTTCGCTAACTCTAACACCCCTGCTTAGGTAGCTGTACGGCGCTGTCAATCTCGACAAATAAGGTTGGATGGTAAGGATAATGGACCTAACTAAAAAGTTCAAACATCAAGACCCCTGAGTTGGCGAGATTCGTAATGCTTTCTTTTCAACGCGCTTCTCGTAGAGACTGCGCGAACAATAGTTACACTTAGTGAGCTTCGAGCAGATGGGTGTATCGTCAATATGCTCCTAAATTCGCGCCTATCCGCGCTACACTTGCGCTGGAAGCAACTACCTAACCTCCACAAAATTATATCTGTATCTGTGGTGCTACTATTCTTAATAGGTTAGAAGCCAATTCTCCCCAGAGATATGCCTCGTTCGTGGACTAACAGAGACGGTCAACATAGTAATATTTATCCAACCTAATCCGGATGTCGCCCGCGATGGATGGAATCGTCTTACACATTCAACAAGTGGTGGCCCTCTGGCAGGCGGAATTCCCCTCCGTGTCATGTTCATTGGCGCATCTATGACACTCGGCGAGCACTCGACTGGCGAAGTAGGCTACCGGAAGCAGATTCGTGATTGGCTTGTTTCTAGGGGAAATCCAGTTAACTACGTCGGACAGGTATCATCTTACCCCGCTGTAGCGAGTTCTCGATCATTTAATGGTGCTAATCTCCAGCGGTCCTCCAGAACCGATACGGCGACTTCAAAGACAACGACGTACAAGCCTTTGGTGCCCAACCTATCAAACCGACCCTCGATCGCCTGAAAGAAGTCGTACCACAGGTGCAACCCAACCTGATCTTAATAAATGCGGGATCCAGTGACTGCTTCCAGCTCGATCATTGGGGCCCTGCATACATCTTACAAAGCATGCGTGACCTGGTCGATTTCCTGTTCGAAGCGTCGCCGCGAGCCACCATCATCATGTCGACTATCATAACAAGTCCGTGGGAAGGCACGGAGCGCTGCGTCAAGAGCTCCAATGCACAGATCCGACAAGTGGCCATCGATCTCATCCGCGAGGGCAAGCCAGTGACGATGGCCGAGATGCATTACGACCAGGGATTGCCGAATCGCGTCCTCCGCGAGGACATAGGCCCTGATGACATGCATCCTACCGACAAAGGCTACTTCAAGATGGGCGACATCTTCATAGAGAAGATTATCGAAGTCGAGAAGAATGGCTGGCTACAGCGACCTGTCGATAACGGCGTCCCTGAAGACGGCGAAGCCGCTAGGGATGCTGAAGACGCGATTAAAGCTCAAGAGGAGAAAATGAAGGGGAAAGAAGAGAACGAACCAAAGCCCCCCGGTGTACCCGGTAGAAGAAGTCATGAATCAGGAAGGCTATTCAATAGACGACACGGTGCCATTTAAAAAGCAATTCTAGATTGTATGATAGAAGATATACGCACGTCATTGTGGAGCTTCATCGGCTAAGACAAACCATCCCAAGCAGTCGGTACCGATAGATAGCATCACCTAATAACGCTCGCAATGAGGTATGATATAAAACTGGGAGAAATCATGTACTCCATATCTTTGGCCTTCTAATTGTATTTATTGTCCTTGGATATTTGTTTATTTCCCCTTTGCTTCTGGAGGATGATTTCGAAAGAGCTTCAAAAGGCGGTTCGCCCTAGACTTCCATTTTGAGGAATTTGTTCAATTGATAAGGTTTCCTACGGGTGGGGAAGAAAAAATATAGCATTTATGGACAAAGACACAAGGAAAGGGAACAGAGGCGTATCATGCTTGAAAACGAGAAGAGAGTGAAAAAGAAAAAAGAGAGATTTGATCCCAATTTGATTGGGAGTCGCGAGAATTGAGCTCACGGCGGGGGTCGAACCTGACGAGGAATGTTAGCTCAGATCACCGAGAGGACCTGTCGTGGATGATGAACTTACCCGCAACCTTGAGATTAAGAGTCTCACGCTCTACCGATTGAGCTACGCAAGCGATGACGAGAACTACGTTATGACCTATTATGTATGGGCAGTGAGTGTATGGACCACGGAGGTCCCATTTGTGAGGCCCTAGGGCCCGCACCCTACCCTTAGACTGACAGTTTAGCAAACTCGCGCTCGGCGATATTACGAAAATGATTCTATTCACGGAACATAGGTGGGCTACGAGAACTTCTACGGAACAACTTGACACCCGGGATCTAATTGCTCGACTCGATCCCCAACTCCTTCTCGTACAGCTTTGCCCCATGTCCGATGGGCTGAATCAGAGTGTAACTGGCCGAGCTATTAAACTCCTGCACGCCATTTATCAAGTATAGAGGCGCAAGATTGCCGTCGTCGCTGAAGTAGAGCCGCGGCCGTTCTCGCCGATAGTAGTCGGTCCTTCCGCCGTCCGTGAAGTACACCGTCGTATTGTACGCCGCCTGCAGTTTAAAAGTCCAGTTACCCGTCAAGCTACGCGAGAACAAGTGCCCTCCCACTCTTGGGTATTTCTCGTGCCTCTCTGCGATATCAATCATCCAATGACACAGAATATGCCAGTTGCCACGCTTGTCGCGCCATAAGAAGGGATCCTCGGTCCAGTGATCACTGTAATCGGATGTATTCCACAGCATTGACTTGATTAGGTTGTACGGGCCGCTGAAACTGTCCGCCTGGTAGATGAAGTTGTCCTCGACACCAAGTACGATCTCGGACGTGGGATTGTCGTGCGTCCATAACGGCCATGGGGTCGGGTTAGTCGCATTGAGGAGACGCTTTGACGGTTCCCATGGCCCTCGGACATCAGGAGCACTAGAGACGGAGACGTTATTCGCCCATTTGTATGATTTACACGTATCTGGCGTGTCTGTCTCTATCCCAATGGTGTACATAAGATACTTCTTATCTGCCGGGCTCCATACGACCTTGGCGTTGTGACGAAACGTCCCTAGGAGCTCTTCCGCATAATGGTACGGGCCAGCCGGTCCCGTACGTGACTCGGCGCGAACCACGGTGCTAAATGGCCTCCAACCCGACAACCCGCAGCCACGAGCGAATTGGTCGATGATCAAGTGGAAGAGTTTCTTGTCGCGCCGGTCTTGAATGATATTTCCGCCCCATGAGGAGTTTCCCCCTTTGGTGCTGTAGAAGTCAGGTAGGGTAAAATTCGTGTAATTGTATCCCGTCCACCGCGTTGCGGGTTGAAGATCGAGCTGGCTGCAATCATCCGACTTCCACCCAGGATCGCACTTACACTTCCCTGATGAGTGAACACAGATCCCATTGAGGCTACAGTCCTCGTCTGTCACGCATCGTTGAGCGACAACACCAATTGGGGCAAAGAGGATTAAGAGGATTCTTAGAAGGGTAGGAGCATACATCTTCAATGTGCCGACGCCACTCCGGATGATCAGATGTTAGTCATCATCGTATCCGAGCGCAGAGAGGCCTCAATTTATTTAATTTTCATTTATATGTCCCCCGGATCGAGTTCATTAGCGCGGTGCTCGACTGTGGGGAAATAAGGAGCGTGAATGAGGAGATCCTGGGGTTACTGTCTCGACTAGCCGCTTGAAGTTGTTGGAGAGGTCGTTCTCGGTATACCATTCCCCGACGCTCCTCTGGCAATTAGCATTATTCCTAAGAAAATATCCCAATTCTCTACAAGGAATATTCACAGATCAGAAATGCGACCTTGAACCGTCCCTGCTTGGCAATGCGCCTATTCATCAAACCGTATAGATTTGTTGCCAACATTCTCGACCTAATACTACTGCAGCCAGACACCATGTTCCCGGGGGCTAGTTTTCTTTTATGCGATGTGTGGCGCGCCGTCAGGTTTGTTTTCTCTGCTCCTTGATTGGAATAAGTAGCAATGCAAGTAATCCTTCGAAGTCCGACCTACTACCATGGTTCCACGGTTGGTACTTTATAGGATCCACGTTCGACACTATGGTGTACTGCATAACCCAACAAAACTCCGACGTACGCTAGACTCCGATTTTCTTGAGGAAGTCCTGAACGGTATCAATCACCCCTTCAGTCCAGCTCAGATGGGGTGAATGACCAGCTAGGCAGTGATAGATCGTAAATTCGCCTGTCTTCTGAGCCTGTAGAGCAACCATGGCTTCCTGGTACTCCTTCGGCATAACCAGAACCCCCTCCAACACCAAATAGGCGCAAGGCAAGGCCGAATACGCATCATTGGTAAGTTTCGTGGGCATAATGGGCGATGCGGTTATTCGTCTTCTGCGCAGTATATTTGACTTTTTATAACCCTTAGCTGTGTTGGTTAGGAGAGATGAGCCTTTGACTCAATATGGTAGTTATAATATGCGGCGCGGCATCATATTTTGTTACTTCGGCTCCTCCCTTACTTGACTTGGTTTGATTGTCGTCCCAACCGCATTATTAGTGTACGCGTATACTCCGTATACCTTAGCTCGAGTGAGATGCGCACAAAACCCGAGTAAACTCGAAGGGTAGTCAGTGTGTCTGTTAATGATGAACTGGACATTTATGATATACCTTACACTATAGCATGATGCTACGGCCGTATCTTACGATTTACTGAGAGGTATATAAAATGGTTGCTCTTATTTCCACATTAGTCACAGAGTCTTAGAAGATTTCCATCTATATTGTGGTTTAATAACTTGGTTATATCTTCAACTCGGGGCGCGTGTAGGCAATCACTCCGCACAACCTCTATCTTCTTTTGGCTGCCCGGATCGCACAGGCTTACAGATCAACGAGTGTTAAAAACAGGAACGGTGAATGGGTTATAAATATGGACGTAGAAAGGAAGACACCAGATGTTTGACATGCCTTGTGTTTTGCTTTCACGTCTTATAATATCGTGGCATAGTTTCGTACAAGATTGGTGGACTCCGTAGCCCGGACATTAGAGTTTCTCAGAACTTCGCATCTACCTGGGTATTTTAGTGTTCTACTTCTATCGAGAATATCATATCAGTTGTATCTCTTTCTATATTCTGGTTGAATAAACTCTCGATCACATCAAACTCAAGCAGTATTTGCAACAACTCCCTGAATGAATGTGTAAATGGTAACGTAGCTGTCAAAGAGACTTTGAGTCCTTGAGTTTGTGAACTGTCCAAGTGGATAACGTCGAGGACCCTCAACGATATTAGGACAATATCTACGAGTGAAGACTGTATTATCTTAGCCCTCTTATGGATATGAACGTATTATAAGTTAGGTACCTAGGTATAAGTATAACAATCATAGAAAGAATTTATATACTTCAATTTGTCCTTGTACAAATATTACTCCAAGAGTAGAGCAGCCTTTTGCTACGTCAATCACTACCTACCTAGTTAATGAGATAACTAGTATTCATTGGTATCCGTCATCATTTAGGGTTTCTATAATACCTGTCAGGGGTAGTTTACGGTTGATTGACTCCTATCTGAGAGCTACATACCTCGTATAAACCTAGCCGATTCTGCTTTGGTCGATCTCGTCTTTAAGATTACATTTAATGCAAATTACAGATAAATTACAAATTCGTCATTGAAGGAGTATACAACAAAGAGATCTAAATATGTGTCGCGAACAGCGAAGAACTTCTTCCCCACCGGCAGGGGCTACGTGGTGGGCTTCGTGTGGATCAAAAAGGAGGTTTCTGGGTGGATACAGTGTTAGCGGGACTGGAAAAAATACCCTTATACTGTGCGTTCCTCTTCGGGGCATCGCAAACTCTGAAAGACGATGTTGTCGCAAGACGGCAAGACTCAATGCCCTGAGACCTACCAACTTCGTCATGTAAAGACATTACATAGGCAGGTCATAGACAGATACGCGCTAAAGGCACATATGACCCTCACTTTCCATGATTGAGGCTCACTGGGGGTCTATTTTTAAGGGGCGCTTGCATGGTTTGAAGTTGAGCCTCCACAGTATGAACAAGTGGTCAATGCGTTTGGCGGTAAAGAGATTCAGTCGCGACCCAAAGTAGGTACATATACTAATGCCGCGTCCCCATCGACCTTTAACCGTCCATTCACGATCTTGCCAATCCATTATACCTGTTCACTACCAGAAGTTTGCTTAATTTTGCTTAATTTTCACCAGAGGACCGCACCTGTGAGATCAACCTATCAAGTCGAGGACCCGCGAGTCGGGTTATAGCCAACCATGGCTTCCAAACCGAGCCCGTCAGTACGGCCTCGAAGTCTCTTTGGAAGTTCAACGACCGCGTCAAGCCAGCAAACAACGATGCCCTTTGGAGATGCACCTACTCAGTCTACTGGCTTTTCGCCCAGCAGTCTCTTCTGCAGTTCAACTCCACAAGCTTCTCGCGCTCAGGAGCCTATGTTTGGATCCCCTATTACTCAAGCTAATTCGCCAACAAGCGTAAATTTTTTCGGCAAGGGGACTCCTCAATCGGCTAATGGATTTAGAAACTCCATTAGTCAGGAGAACTTCTTTTCACCTAGAGGCGGAAGCTTCACCACCGAAACTAGTCCCGCACAACCGAACTTCTTTAGCCCTAGGATGTCAGCCTCGTTTTACAGCCCATCGCCAGCCTCGCGAAGAAGCAAGTCGCAGGTAAGCATTTCTGGGGTCTCTCCTACCCGAGTTACTCCCCTCGCCAGCCAAAGATCAGCCCCTCAACCAAGCCAATCACCAACAAAAGCCCCTGGGACTCCCGGGACTCCTGGTTCCCCGGCCATACATACCCCAGCTTCGGAGTCGCAATCACCTTCTGAACAAGAGAACAATGTGCGACCCCCTAAGTCTTATATCGACCCAGATGGTGATCTATGTCTCCAGGTGGGCCCTCTCGCGGCGGAATTCGTAGTCTGCTCCAAGACTATGGCAAGATCATCTCCTTTCTGGAAGAAGATGTTGTATGGAGATTTTGCCGAAGGCAAGAAAGCGCAACCGAAGAATGATGAAAAGGAGTGGATCGTGAAGCTACCGGAAGATAATGTCACCGCTATGACGATAGTCCTCAGCATTATTCACGGCCGTTTCGACCAA